AAAGAGATCAAAACTTGAACAAATATAAGATAATATAATCAATTAGGCTCTGATACCAAATGATGCGGAACTCAAGATCAAAATATTTATGATGTAAATATAGAAGAAAATGACAAAGGATAATAAGAAATATATGGAATTGAAAGATAAAATTAAGAAGCTTACAAGGAGATTAGACCCCAAGATTAGAAGCGTAAGCAACCATGGATATATTAAATCCACAACCTCAAGAACAATAATCAAGTAACCTATTCTATCACCTAATATAGAAGATTACTTAAAAGGAAAAACTATTCTTGAAGCAATCAAAGACAAGTCCTTGGTAGAACTTAAGGAGAACTCTCCTAAACTCTCAAAGAGATGAATATATTTCATATAAAACTTAAAGATATGATCCTCTTACAATGAAAGAGTGATGGCTATTTATAGAGCCATTTCAACTACTCTTTAGCAAACTACAAGTATGAAAACAAATACTAAAAAGGTCTTCAATGGTGGCTACATGCAATCTTCAACAATGGAGGCCTTAAAATCATCCAAGAAATCTTACGGAGGCCTACAAACATAGTCATACCATCTAACTACTTGTTGCACCTTTTAAATGAGTTCACAAGAACAATTCAATTTAATATTTTCCACCAAGTATGAATGATTGAATCTCTTGTATTAGAAATCTCGGTAGATTGGTGCAGTCTTGGTAGAAAGTCTATAATTTTGTCTATGAGTGTTGAAATTGCACAATTCTTGATTCTCTGAAAAGAAAACATATTAGGCTATACTTTTGATAAGTTTCTCAACTAAATTCATATTACACTATTCCACAACTAATTTTAAAGTTGACCAATGTGATTCTGTCCAGATTTGTATAGCTATAGCTTATATGGCCATAACTTGATGTAGGAAGCTCCAAATTAAGAATGGTTTAGCTCATTAGAATCTAGACTTCAATATCTTTAATCATGATGAATTTTGTAGCCCAATTTTATCTATACTTGAACAAATTAATATTTGAAGTTGGACCAATGTTCGGATAGTTTTGTGAATATTGGATAGCATTAAGTATCACTCCTTTGCTCCAATTCACCCAAAGTATTCACCAAATGTTGCATGCCTACAAAATAAAATAAAAACACACTCAAAGTAATATATTCTAAAAATAAAGTACTACAAAATATATTATTAAGAGAGAGGCTAAATAGTCAATCACAAGTTAATTCATCACCATTTTGATTAAGAATCATGAGTATCTTCATTTAGGCTCACTTGAGATACGTGTATAAATTTTAGTTTCTCATCCACACCCGTGACTTCCGATCTCATATCAAGTAGCTTCTTTACAAACCCATGCATTACTTTTTGAGCTTTTCTAGCTTTAGCTCTCGTGATTGGTCCAGATGGTAAATATAGATTCTCGATTGCAATTTCATCGAGCGTGCTCGTATCACATATAGTTCAAGGGTTCCTAAATCCCTCAAATCAAGGTTAGACCCAACACTTACCTCGCTCCGCAATCAAATCAAAGCTCAACTGGGGACTTTCCTCTAAAATTCACCTCCAAACCAATCGAATCTAACCAAAATAGACTCAATATTAACAAACAATTCTAGGGAAATCAATTACAATAGATAAAGCTAAGATCTTTACACTTTCCCCCAAAAACTCAACAAAAGTTAACCCGAGGCCCGTCCCATTAAAACTCGGGTCCAATGGTAGATTCCGACTACCCATGACCCCACGAGTTCATATATGTGATTAGTTTCCAAATTCGAATCCAAATCGACTATTAAAATCAATTTATTAATTTTCAAAAACTTGACAAGGTTTCACAATTTTTCACTTTGATTCACATGATTTTGATGTTAAAATCTAAGATAAATTGATGGAATATGATTAGAAATAGGTTAGAATCACTCACCTAAAGTTTGTAGATAAAATTTTCTCTTCAAAATCGCCTCCTACCGAGCCTAGGGTTCCAATCACATCTCTGTTGTCATCGCAATTTGCGATGATTTGTTCGCAAATGCGAACATAGACAATTCGCAAATGCGATCAAATGATCGCAAATGCAATCTCTGTTGTTCCCAGGCCATCTTCGCAATTGCGAACAAAATGTTCGCAAATGCGACCATAACATACCAAGCCAGAAATCACAAATGCAATCCCCCACCTCGCAACTGTGGGATCTGCAGACCACACCAGCAACAAAGGGTCATCATCTATTCTCCCAAGTCCAAAATCAGTCCGTAGCATATCTGAAACTCACTCGAGCCCCTCGGGCTCCAAACCAAACATGCACACAAGTCCAAAAATATCATTCGAACTTGTTCGCACGATCAAAATACCAAAATAACACTTAGAACTACGAATCGGACATCAAAATGTATGAGATTTTCAAAGAAAATGAAGAACATGCAAATTTATAACTGAACGTCCGAATCATGTCAAATCAACTCCGTTTTGCACCAAATTTTGCAGTCAAGTCATAAATAGTGAAATGAACCTATTTCAAGTTCCGAAACCGAAATTCGAACCCGGTAGTAACAAAGTCAACCTACTGTCAAACTTAGAAATTCTTTAAACCTTCAAATTACTAGTTTTCAACAAATCACGTTAAACCAAGTTAGGGACTTCCGAATTCGATTCCGGGCATACGCCCACGTCCCAAATTACGATACGGACTCACCGAGACCGTCAAAATACAGATCCAGGTCTGTTTACACAAAATGTTGACCATAGTCAATTCAAATAAATTTTTAAGGCAAAATTTTATATTTTTTTCACATAAAAACTTGAACAAGACACGAACTGGGCACGCAAATCGAGAACACTAAACAGAACTAGTCGAGATCTCGAAACGCGAAAATAAAGACTAAAACTCAAAATGACCTATCGGATCATCATATTTCTTGAGATTAGAAGGTTAGTCCCATAAATTATCCTCCTTTATTTGCCAATTTAACCTTATATCTAGCTCATCATTTTATTATAAAAAAAAAAAAAATCACACTTCGTTATCTCACTAATCACAATTAATAAGCCTATCCTCACATGAATGCTTGTTAGGCTAACTAACCTGAGACGCCCAAAATACATATATCAAAATACAATAAATTTTAGAGTTATATCAATCAATAAACATGCATAACACAAACTCAATTTACTCTGAACTATTAGATTATACTGCTGACATATGATGTGATAAAATAAATAAAATACCTAAAAACATCACGATACTCTAAATAAAAAAAAGTTACAAATTAAGGAGCCAAAATCATCAAGAGTCTCAATAAGTCTGCAAATACGTTATCATACACATGGCTAATAAAAGGCATCTGAACAGAAGGAATTTACAAGATCCAGTTAAAGCTAACAAGAGTCATATTCCTGCTTCTAAGCTGTATTGTAACAAAATAAGATAGAGAACAAGAATTTCAATAATGTTGTCTCATTTTGCAGCGAAGCCTCTTCCATCTCTTTTCTGCAAATGTCACTCAAACCAAAACTGTTGCTTCTTTTTCTTTTTCCCTAACAATGAATTTTCATGTGACATATCATATTATTCGCCAAAAGAATCTCAGAGAAATAAATATACTTACATACAACACACAAATAAATGATTTAATATAAATGTAGTAATATACTTATCGGAATTTTGCTAAGATTCTTTCTAGTAAGGGTTATATCTAAAAAGAAAATGAGTATGAATTACAACTTAGTAAAATATAAGTATGATAAACACTGATTTATCTACTACCAATAAAAGTACTCTTGCTAGGTATAAGATCAAACGTAAAATACAGAAAGAGGAGAAAAGAGAAAAAAAAAAAAAAAGAGGAAAAAATATTGTAGTCTCTATAGACTTTTCACTAAAAAGAACGAGGATTCTCATTGAATCAGATTGGTGCGAAATACATATGCTCCTTGTGATGTCTTAAAAAAAACTGAATTGACATGGCGGCAAACATGAATCTAAGCAACTCGTAAATTTGTAAAAGATAAATCTCCGAGCTGCCAATAAAACGACACACCATCAACACACGACTGGCAAATCAAGTGAGAAGATATTTTTTACACAAACCTCAACACACCTTAAGTCTACTCTGCCAAGAAAATTAAGCACACTATGCACAATAAGGCTCAATAATTTATTTCTATAAATGGTCTAATTATTTAAAACCTCCCATTCGCCCCATCGCCAATATATTAAACAATAAATAACAAAAGGACCAAGTTGTTCAATCTTACTGTATTAAGCATTAGAAATAAGCAAACAAATGATAATGGTTTGCTACTTCCAAGAATGACAGGCAAACTACTATACAGAATTTTTAAAGTAAAAATATGGCACAGTTTGAGCCTTACCTGCTGTAGTGTTTATCGTGGAATATGTTATGTAGCATTTGAATGTATTGCAAAGTAAAAGACTGAGATAATTTTATTAGGTGCTCACTCAAATACAGAAGCAATGATGGAGATAAACCACAAACAACCACACGGTCAAGAATGTGACAATTGAAAAGGGAAGCGCCGGAACAGAAAGGGGAAAGCAGATGATTAGATACAAATCAAGCAGCTACTTTGCTATTATCGTAAGAGCACAACATGTCTTCCTATGTTCACAGGTAGGGCATTATGCTTGGTAATAATTAATTAATCACTACATCCAAAACTTTTATTCTCCTTCATAATTTATCACCCAACAAGAAATGAATATATGGAACTATTAAAGCTCGTACTTCAGTAGAAACCAACAACTTTCATTTACCGTCAAATTTCAATATATTATTCCACTTCAGTGGTACTTCGAAGGATTTTACCAGCAAATCCTTTACTTTAGTGGGAAAACAAAGATATATGAATAGTAAGTAATTTTGTCGTGGAGCTAATAACTCTAAAACATGGGTGGATGGGTGAAAGCAGGGTTGAACTTTGGACATGTTATTTGACTCTGCTACCTGCACAAATTGTGACAAAAATGACAAATATAATCAAAAGAAAACTACGCGGACAAATTGATATTCCAGAAACTGGTATTCAATTTATGAAAGCAAAAAGCACCGTAAAAATTACAAGGTTAAGCGACAAAGAAGGAGAGGATGGGCGAATTTTGCAGAAAGCAAGAGGCTGAAGCAGAGCAAATTATGGTATCATGGTAAAACAGAGCAAAATTAACGGCTTGTTTGGATGGTTGTAACCTATTGTATTGTATCATATTATTACTTTAAATACAATATTTATTTTGATTGTAAGTTAAATTTTATGGTATCGTATCGTTAAATTCATCCTTATGTAACAACAAAAAGTGCTACTTTATGGAACGTCAGATTTTAATATAGTGGCATACTTTATGGAACGACTTGGAAGCCATGCATAGAAGGGAAGGAGCGTTTGCCCTATGAGAAGAAACGCAAAATCAAAGCAGCTTTGGAGGGTTAGTTTTCCCACTGAATAAATGAGAAAATTTTGAACTGTATATATTTCTTCTTTTTAATGAACGATTTTGGGTATTTCAGAGGGAAAACCGATTCCAACTGAGCTCAGGAATGAAGAGGCTGCTCTTCGCAAAGAAATCGACCTTGAAGATGAAAATACTGCTGGTATGTTAATTCCCCTTTTGCTTTTGCCCATCTTTTGTTTGCATGTTTTTTTTTTTATATAGTTTAGAGGGCTGATTAAGGATCCTGCTACATGTCTTGGTTATTTGGTATACTTGATTGAATTGGGAATGGAAGATGTCTAGGATAGGAAAAGAAGTGCCATGTTTACTGGAATTTGTTTAAAATGATTGATATAAATAACTTGAAGGGATTTGTGGCAAATATTAACACCAAGGGTGTGACTTAATGGACAATGAAGCTGAAATGAATCGTGGGAGATAAGGGTTCAAATCATAGCTGAGTCAATAAAACGCCTCAAACTCCATCTACTTTATGCACTTTTATAACATCTATAGGCTTGGAGAAATAGTGCTTTGTTGGTTGAAAATTGTGGAACATTGGTCTGCTTAAGTGAATGCAAAGAAGAGGAATTTATTTGGTCTTCTTATGTGATATAAATTTTTATAGTTGTAGAGTATGAAAGGGAAGGTAAGAGATAAGCAATGAGGAGTGTTATGACAGATGATAGAAGGATATGGAACATAAAATAAACTGGAAATTATTAGATGCCGGAAATGCATGAGAAAGGGGATTACATGCCTTATTCACTTTTACTTCTGCCTATAATTTGTCTTAGTATCAGTAGGTCAAAAAATTAGAGTACGTTCTATGAAAATCAAATCTCCATCACAGAGAAGCTATGTAAATTTTGGCATAGTTCTCCTTTATAAAGTGTAGATCTGTCGTGAAATGCATTATATATTAGATATGATTTGCCTCCTACACTTTGTGCTGTTTGAATGTCTTGGCTTACTAGAAAAGTGTCCCTAACGTCATTGTTACCCTAAAACACAAGGCCAGGGAAGAGCCAAGGAATTGTGGAAACATTAAACATGAACTATCTCCTTAACAGCTGCACCTTGTGTGGTTAAAGAAGTTCAACATGGCGATCTTTTTCCTTTCTTGAACCGAGTTGATTCCTGCTATATATGGCTCTTTCTTCATCTTTCGCTATATTCTGCTCCATATCCTTTGCCTATTGTTCCTCACTTCAATGGATCTCATGTTTCAATATCATATTCTCTGATCCTGTGGTGGATGATCATTTCTTACCTTTTTCTTCAGCTTATAGTATCAGACTTAGAATACCTTTCTCCGCCTTTTGGCTAAAATCAACTATAGGTCATTCTGCTTCATTGCCAAGTTGCCAGGACTTTTTGGTTGTTTTGGCATTCAATGGCGGTGTCTTCCTAGGGTGCGAGTTAATGTCCCTCGGGAACATAGATACATGCTGTTTGCTGTCGTCCGCTGGGGTTAGGTGGACCTTATGGAAGAAAGGAGAAGTTCCATGTTCTCAATTTTTATTTATCAACCGTATAAAAGAAAAAAGATAAAAAAAGAGTTGTTTTAGGATTTGTTGTAGAGCCAGTCCCTGAATGGAAGTTTCTTTGCTCTAGACTACTCCCTTTTGGTGTTAAAGACTTTGCGATTGGAACCTATAACCTTTACAGTTATTGTTCCTTTAATGCTGTATTTTCTGTCATGCGCTCTCTCTCTCTTGCTCTCTCTTTCTTTCTCTTTGTTCTTTTGAAATAAGTATTCCAGATGGAGATGAGGTAGTTTCCAATTACGTTACTTGTTGAGTTGAACGTGCTATGTATTTGCTAGGACTAGTCTTTTATCTTTTTTAATGTTGTTGATGCAGTACCTCGATCAACTATTGATGACGAATATGCTAATTGTAACACTCCTCAAATCTATAAAAGTTTCAAGACACGTTAAATATAGATTATAATTTTTATAATCTTAAATTATACTTTTATTATGGATTTAAACTCTTGTGATTGATTTTTTAGTTACTTCTCTATTTATAAATAATTGGATATACAATTAGTGGAATATTAATGATTTTAATATTATTAATTAAAATATTATTAATAGGAAGATGTGGAGGTCTAGTATTAGGGTTGTAGGCTAGGAGGCAGTTGAGTCGTGCCTTACTTCGTACCATTGTGGGACTAGCCATGTAGGGTTTTTGGCTAAGATAGCCAGTGGCAATGTTGTCGCTTACTATTTCGCTTTTCAGTGCATGCTCTATTTACTAGCTATCGCTTTTGCTTTGCATCTTTCTTCTAGATTTCATGGTGTTCCTATTTTTCATATGATTGTCGTGGTGATACTAATATTTACTAATATTATCTCCCCTTGCTTTGCATCTTTCTTTTGGATTTCATGGTGTTCCTATTTTTCATATGATTGTCGTGGTGATACTAATATTTACTAATATTATCTCCCCTTGCTTTGCATCTTTCTTTTGGATTTCATGGTGTTCCTATTTTTCATATGATTGTCGTGGTGATACTAATATTTACTAATATTATCTCCCCTTGCTTTGCATCTTTCTTTTGGATTTCATGGTGTTCCTATTTTTCATATGATTGTCGTGGTGATACTAATATTTACTAATATTATCTCCCCTTGCTTTGCATCTTTCTTCTGGATTTCATGGTGTTCTTATTTATCATATGATTGTTGTTGTGATACTAATATTGCCCCCTTTTTGTCCTTTTGTCTTTTTCTCCTTTTTTTTTTTTTTTTGGAGCCGAGGTCTTTCGGAAACAGCCTCTCTACTCCTTCGGGGTAGGGGTAAGGTCTGCGTACATACTACCCTCCCCACACCCCATTAGTGGGATTTTACTGGGTTGTTGTTGTTGTTGTTAATATTATTAATTATTAAAAGCAGGTATAACTAAATACTACTTAAGTCAAAAAAAGAAAAAAAAAAAAAAAAAAAAGAGAAGCACGTGCCAAGCTAAGCCCATAAAGGGCTGTTGGACCAAACAGAATAACCTTACAAGAGGGGTAAATAGCCTTACAAGAACCAAACAGAATTAACATTCTGTTTGCTCAAAGAAACAGAGGCAGCGAAATTCACGCAGGCAACGAAAATTCTAGGGTTCTTTACAAATCACTAATTCTTGAACTCAGGTATATAAAATTCCCCATTGTCAATTATCTTAAGGTAGTGGTAGGTAAGAATTGAATAGTTAATTCCCTTCTTTATCTGTATCAACAGTAAAGTTCCGTGTTTAGGTGCGAAACTTTAAAATTAATTGAAATGCACTGGTTGTTGTAGAATCGATTATTTGACTGGTGTCAATTGGACTGGGGCCTACATATTGGCTCAAGAAGTTTTGAGGTGAGTTGATATAACCCTTTACTAAAGCGGTTTCTCACAAAAGCACGCATACAAGGTGTTGGATGAATTGCTTAAAAAAGTTTATATTTACTTAATTGGAGCGAGTGAGTACCTATTAACTTAGAATTGTTCTAGCAAAAGTTTAGATGATTTATTATGATATATGTGCATAAATTTTCAGATTTTTGTGTTATTCTTATATGCTATTTTCATATTGAAAATTTATGAAGAAGCAAGAATCTTTAGAAATACTTTTGAATGTTTATTTCATTCTTATGCCATGCTTTACATTTAAGGATACCAGCATGAGTATGTATAAGATGTTCTAGAAAAGATTTAGACTTGAAAAGTCACAAGAAAAGTTTTAGAAAGAAAAAGATTTTGGGGAGTATCCTTTATTTTGAGAAGGGGTCATCGTCCAAGCCGAGGGTCCTGACCAAGGCATTGACTTTCTGAAACTACTTGTGCCAAAGTAGGGAGCACACGAGCAAGGATCTCGTTGCTTAGAATTTACCTAGCCAGGCTAAGGTATGGTACATGAGCGCTGAGAACCATGAAGCGAGTGGCACCTCGAGGATTGGGCCTATTCGATCAGGTTGGGATCGAACCCATGCCGATCACACGGTGACTAAGACAAAAATAGGTCAGGATAGTTGGAACTCCCAAAGTATAAAGTGAAGTATTTTTTTTATAAGAAAGAAAAAGAAAAGAATTTCTTTTTAGAATATTCATAAACTGCTATTATGCAATTATTTTAGAATTGTTCTTATATGCTTTATGTTTTACATGCATTTAGAATCTTTGCTCGTAATGTATATGTTATTAAAGTTTCGTCCCCTGTCGTTGAGACTCACTAAGTACAATTGATGGTACTGACGTTCTCTTTTGGGAACCTACGTTGTTATGCGGTACAACGTAGGAACCGGTTTTGCAGGCGAGCAGGCTACGGGTTAGGACTTCCCTCACT